CTACCTACTAACCTCATCCCGCCTACTTCACTTGTCCGTCCTCCCTGGACTGACCTATTCCCCACCTACACTTACCTTTACTGGCTCCATCCCCACCTCTTTGACCTGTCTGTCTCCTCTCCATCTATCTGCTCCTTTATCCATCTTTCATCCGTCTCCCCCTCTCTCCCTATTTATTTCAGAATCCCCTTCCCCTCCCCCTCCCCCATTTCTGAAGAAGGGTCCAGGTCCAAAACGTCAGCCTTCCTGCTCCTCTGATGCTGCTTGGCCTGCTGTGTTCATCCAGCTCTACACCTCGTTATCTCAGATTCTCCAGCATCGACAGTTCCTACTATCTCTGTTTGTATGAAGAGATGTTCGTAAGTCGTAGCAAACAAATTAACACAAGAACCACCAACAAGTTAATGCAAATTATATTCCACGTGCCATGCTGACGAGGAGAATTTCCACAGCATTTTTCTGCCTTAATCCAGACTTTTCTTATGTTTAAAGGCATGATTTTCACAAAATAGGACACAGAGTGCAGCACAGTTGGACCCTCTCCCAGAACATGAAGAGATCTTTGTTGATTTATATGGGAGGGAGCCTCTCAGAGTTTGGAGGGGTATGTATCACATTCCTCAAATCCTTCATGATATTTCACATCGACATGTCCCATGTACACTATGCACAAGTGCATAATATTGCATGAACTGTCAGCAAAATACCCAAATGCATAGTTGTGCTTACGTACCCATAATCGCCATCTGCCATCTTCATAGAACAAGGAGTTAGGTAGACCTATGCTGCCCATCACTACCAGGCACACCTTCACTGAGGAGGAGGTTTGGACCAATAAAGGTTCAAATGGCACTGGGGCTAACAAATGAAGACAAGTTGCATAAATGAGGCTTGAATTCCCTTGAGTATAGAAGATTAAAGGATAATTTAATCAAGGTGTTTGTGATGAAAGAACTCTGGGGTGGTGAGGACAGTCTCGCACAGGAGCATGTAAATTTAAAATCACAGCATTATCATTCATGAATTCGATGAAGAAGTACGCTGGGTAGTGAAAATCTAAAACTACTTTTATCAAGAGACTGTTGAAGTTGCAGATCTATTAATTTCAGAACTGAGATGGATAAACTTCTGTTTGTCAAGAGTGTAAATGTTTATAGACTGTGGAAGCAAGATGAGTAGATTGAGTTAAGATACAGTTTAAACATATAATTGAATTTTTAAAAATTCAATCATTGGATGTGATTGTCATTAGCAAGACAAGCATTTATTGCCCATCACCACCTTGAATATAACTGAGGCTTGTTCGGCTATTTGTGGGCAGTTAAAAGTCAACCACGTCGTGGACCTGGAGTCACGTGTAGGTCAGCCCAGGTAAGGATGGCAGATTTCTTTAATTGAAAGATGTTAATGAAGCTGATGAGTTTTCAATAATAACTGACCATGGTTTCATAGTCACCATTACTGGAGTAACTTTCAACTCCATATTTTGTTCAATAAATTGCACCAGCTACTGTGAAGAATTTAAACCCATGTCCCAGAGCATTAGCCTTGGCCTCAATTATGAATCCAGTGATACTACCACTCTCCCACTGCCTCCCTGACAAACCCTGGGGCCAGTGAGATGGACTTTGCTAATGTTCTGTTTTTCTCAGAATGTTTTGCAGCTTGGACTCCAAAAAGATGCCATGATCATAAGAATGAAATAAGAGATGGGTTAACCATTCAGCCTTTTGAGCTTGCTCTGCCATTCAATACTATCTATTCTACATTAACTCCAACTGCCTGCCCTGTTGTCCTTTTGTTTACTGCTCAACAATCTATGATCCCAATCCTGAATAAACTTATTCACTCAATGTCAATAGCCTTCAGGAGTAGAGAATCTCTAAGATCCAAAGCCTTCTATATGCCTAGAGAAGACTTTTGGATTCCCTTTTATGTTAGCTGCCAATCTTTCCTCCTGTTCTTTGTTTCCCTTATTTGCCCTTTTGATTCCCATCTAAACTTCAGTATTTGACCTGATTTTCAATTGTATTATCCATTTGATACAAGCACACTTTTTTTATTTACCTAATTTTAATTTCTGTCTCTTGTTGTTCAGGAACCGCTTCCACTTCCTGCCTTAGTTATCTCCTCTTTAAAGACGGGTCATTGTTCTTTTACAGGTCTTGCTTCTAAGTTTTGATTCCAGTTTATCTGTCTGTGGTCTGATTTTGAATACAGTAGCCTGGGTTTCCAGTCCAGCCTTATTCCTACACCACCACCTCACATCCAAATTAGGAAAAATAAATATACTTACTAATAAACTCAAGATTTCAGGAGAGTCCTGTTTATTCAGTGTGGTGATAATGTGATACTTGCGACAACAAAGCATGGTTGAGACAAATAACATAAGTGCATTGAAGGGGAGGGTACATAAGTACTTGAGGGAGAAGGAAGTTAATCATAGAATCCTTACAGTGTGGAAGCAGGCCATTGAGTTCACACCAACCCTCTGAAGAGCACCCCACACAAACCCATCCCCTGACTCTATCCCTGTAACCCTGCATTTCCCGTGGCTAACCCACCCGGCTGGCACACCCTTGAACACTACGGGCAATTTAGCATGGCCAATCCACCTAACCTGCACATCTTTGGACTGTGAGAGCATCCGGCGGAAACCCATGGCGAATAGGCAAACTCGACTCGCAGTGACCCAATGCTAGATTTGAACCCAGACCCTGGTGCTGTGAGGCAGAAGTGCTAACCACTGAGCCACCATGTTGCCCCACGATAGACGTACAGACCAAGGAGCCATGTGTGGAATGTAAAACGTGACAGATCCTCAAAAAGAGGAAAGGGAAGGGATCCAAAACTGGACACCACTGGGTGGAAAATATCGAAACATGGAAAAAAGGCTTTGATAAATGGTGAGCTCAAGATTCAGTAATGCACCAAATAGAATACAGAGTATGAAGACAAATGTAAAAGGAAAGAAAGGGAAAGAAAATGTATGAGGATAGTATTTAGTGTCTAAAATGTAAACAAAACTTATTTTTTAAATAGTTGTTTCATTATTCATTAATGGGACAAGAGCATTGCTGGCTGGGTCAGCATTTATTGAAATCCATGATTGCCCTTGAGCAGGTGAGGGTGAGCTGGCTTCTTGACCTGCTGCAGTCCATGTGCTGTAGGTAGACCCATAATGTCCCTTAGGGGGTCATTGTAGGATTTAACCCAGCAACAGTGAAGGAACGGCGACATAGTTACAAGTCAGGATGGTGAGTGGTTTGCAGATGGTGGTGTTCCCATGTATCTACTGCCTTTGTCCTTCTAGATATGAGTGGTCATGAGTTTGGAACATGCTGTCTAAGAAGCCTTGGTGAATTCCTGCAGTACATCTTATAGATAGTACGCACTGCTGCCATCACACCTTGACTTGTGCCTTGTAGGTAGTGGACAGGCTTTGGGGAGTCAGAAGATAAGTTCTTCACTGCAGTATTCCTGGCCTCTGACCTGCTCTTGTAGCCACTGTGTTTATGTGGTGAATACAGTTCAGTATGCGGTCAATGCTAATCCCAAGGATGTTAATAGTGGGGATTCAGTAATGGTAATACTATTGAATCTCAAGGGGCAATGATTCTGTTTTGTTGGATTTGATCATTGTGTGGCAAATGTGTGGTGCAGATGTAACTTGTTACTTGTCAGCCTAAGCCTGGATACCTTGTTGCATTTGAACATGCTCTGCTTCAGGGTCTGATGAGTCTTGAAATGTGCTGAACATTATGCAATTATTGGTGAACAACCCCACTTCTGACCTTATGATGGAGGGGAGGTCATTGGTGAAGCAGCTGAAGATGGTTGGGCCTAGGACTGTACCCTGAGGAACTCCTGCAGAGATGTCGTAGAAGTGGGATGACTGACTTGTAACAACTGCAACCATCTTCCTATGTGCCAGGTATAACTCCAGACAGCAGAGAGGTTTTCCTTTCATTCCCATTTGATTCCAGTTTTGTGAGGGCTGTTTGATGCCACACTCAGTTAAATGCAGCCTTAACGTCAAAGGCCATCACTCTCACCTCAACTGTGGAATTCAGCTCTTTTGTCCATGTTTGAACCAAGGCTGTAATGAGGTCAGGAGCTGAGTGCCCCTGGCGGAACCTAAACTGGGCATCACGGAGCAGGTTTATTGCTGAGTTTGTTACAGGTTGTTGTTGTTGGAGGTCAGTCCTCTCAGCTCTAGGACATCTCTGCAGCAGTTCCTCAGGGTAGTGTCCTAGGCCCAACCATCCTGAGAGTACTGTTGATGACAGCTTCCATCACTTTACTGATGATCAAGAGGAGACTTGAGGAGCAGTAATTGGCCAGGTTGCATTTATCATATTCTTTGCAGTATCCAATGCCGCTGGCTGTTTCTTGATATCAAATGGATAGGATCAAATTGGTGGAAGACTGGCATCTGTGGTGTTAGGGACTGTTGGAAAAGACCGAGATAATTTAATAGCACATGTAATGAAAGGAAGGGTGAGGCTGATAATGGGGATTTTTTGTTTTGGGATGGGATAGTGTGGGGTTAGCTAAGATACTAAATTGATATTTTAAATGAAAAACAGAAAATGCTACAAATACTCAGCAGGTTAAGCTGCACTTGTGGAAAGATAAGTAAAGTTAATGTTGTAATGTTACAATTTTTTGCCAGGACCACTGACTATTTTACTACCCAAACAGAGTATGTTGACAATGTTATATTAAGGGACAGGGGAATAGAGAAATTAGATATAAATGAGGAGATACGTAGGAGGTTGACGGACTCAAAGTAGAAATGTCACTGGCTCCAGATTGGATGTATCCTCGGGAAAGAAAGATGGAAAATACACAATCTTCCAGATCTGCTCGAATATGAGAATAGTGCCAGAGGGTTGGAGGATTGCAGTTGTTACAGCCCTGTTCAAAATGGGGAGAGAGAAGAACCAGCAAATACAAGCTACAACTTATAGTTGGATTTTCAGAAGGTTTTTGATAAGCTCCCAGCCAGGACTTACTAGGCAAAATTAAAACACGGGGGGATTGGTAATTGGGGGATTGAAAATTGGTTGACAGGCGGGAAACAGAGAGGGACTTTCCAGGGTGTACCACAAAGGTCAGTGCTTAGCACCCCAGCTAAATTAACAACCTGGATGAGGGAACCAAATGAAACCTGTCCAAGTTTGCTGTTGACACAGAACTGAGCAGGACTGTGAATAGGTGGCAAGGGGGCTTCAAGTTGATTCAGACAAGTTGAGTGAGTAGGCAAACACATGGCAGATGCAGTACAATGTGGCTAAATGGGAAGATTTGCACTTTTGAGTGAAAAATACAAAGGCTCAGTGTTATTTAAATGGTGATATATTGGAAGTGTGGATATACAAAAGGATCTAGGTGTCCTTGTACATCTGTCCACTGAAAGTAGACAGGCAGATGCGGCAAGCAATTATGAAGGAAATGGTCTTCATTGCAAAATGATTTACGTTCAGAAGTTGGAAGATCTTACTGCAGTTATGCAGGGTCTTGTTTGGTTAGACCTCACCTGGAGTATTGTGCGTAGCTTTGGCCTCCCTACCTAAGAAAGGATATACTTACCACAGAGGG